TGGAAACTGACTCGCGAAGTGATGTGGTAGATCGAGTTGTCGGTTCAAGCCCGAGTAGCTCAAGCAAAGAATCGTCACCGGACACTAATTTTATACCAGAGCCCCCGCGCAGAAACATTACCGACGTAAAAATATGGACGAAAGCGGGCACGGGTCAAGAGAGACAATTACGTTAGTTGGGACAAGATAGTTTTTTGACATAATATTTCGACATCTGTTTGAAATGATGTAGATTGATTTAGACTGGCAGCTTTTCTTGTATATATAAGTTTTCGGTTTCTGTACACTTCGCGTGTTTGGTAACAAATGATTAAAAGTCAACTAACCGACATGGAGTAGTTTTTTCCTTGCCCAATAAAAAAAGCTATCACCCTCCCCCGGCTGCGTATCAAACAGGTTTGACCCTCCCCAATTTGTAAAATATTTACTAATGACCATCCCCTCCGAAGCCCCGCCCCCCCGATGAAAAACGTACCTCCCTTATACCGTGTACACTGTTTTTTTTTTTTTTCACTTCGTTATAAAACAAACAGGTCGTATGTTTTGGTATACTCCATATAGCAACATAACATAGAGACTTTGGCTGGAACAAAAGAATTCTCGAAAAATCTAATTTTGTTGTGGTTTCTGTCCCACAGAACAAGTACAAGACCTGGTAAAATCTAAAGGCTCAGACTTAACGATTGCATGCGCTGAAAGTCCCAAACCAGCTGGTAAGTTGCATCAAACAACTTTCTGTGGAGGAGCATGTAACCTTACTCCTGTTTTCTTGAGCCCCTGCCAGTTTACCTAAATATTTCGTCAAGCTTCTCTTGATGAACTAAATGATGTGAGTAGAAGTGTATTTTTTTAATAAAATGTAGATGTGATCAAAGCTTATTCCCATAACTTTAAAACAGTTCTAGAATGAGAGTGGCTATCGCCAATCCGGATGGAACATAATACTCGTATCTCTGCTCCGGAAAATACCAGATTGGAAGCACAACAGTTTACCAATAACTGATATTCATAGCCGAACTTTGTAACGTATATATTGCTCAACGCTTTACACCGAAAAACGTTGTTGGGTTGAGTTGAGTTGTCAATGTATCCTTGACGGTCTCGGGGTAAACAAAGCTCACGGTTTCCTTCAAGTGCCTTGGGAACAGATTGTTTACTTAATTTAGTGACCTTCCTCTCGTCACTGGCTATTACACGATTGAAATGCTGACGACGCCACTGCATTCTTCGCTAAGCTTTTCATTTGAAATCGAGCTTTCGTCTGACTTAGCATATATTGTGAACTATCTTCCTTTCACTGAATTGTAGTCAACTGAAGATTAATACCTACTGGTACGAATCAAGAGTTGAAAACTGCAGATATCTTTTTTTGCATACCATTAATACGTTGGTGCTCAATGTAATTCTGCGCTCTCAGAGAAGGGGCTAATAAGCTCACTTGGAAATTCTACTAAGGTATAGTGCTTAGAAACGGTAGATCTTTCCTCTCTTTGCTTTTATCAAGTTTTGTAATGCTACGATGTTGTCTTGTTTTCGACAACTACGCGTGCGTTTTATCAAAATCGTCATCAGTCTTGCTTACAGAGACACAAATGGTCAGGCACCAGATTATCTTTTCATATTTATCTTTTTGTTTTATTGTAATAGAGGATCTCATTTGACTGACTTACGCTGAACAGCATGTATTATAAATACTTCTTTTTCTATGCAATGAACGAATTACTTTTCAAACAGACTGATTTCCCTTGCAATTCGCTCAGGTCTTATCTGTTTTTTCGGTATGGCAAAGACGATCGTAGACTTGTCTTATAGGAGAGGGTTTAAGTGGGGGCTTACAATGATGGGATTATGTGACGAGTTTATTCGCTGTTTAGCTCATGATGTTAATCTACTTTCTAGAAAACCCAGTCAACGTTGTAGAGCTGATCAGACGAGATTACAAGACGCCGTATTGTGTCCGTTCCCCTGGTGCGAGGAAGATTTGCAAATGGAACTTTCAGAGATCTTTACTAAACTGCAGATAGTTAGTAGGAAGAAAGAAAGGGCGAGGTTAACAAAGGATATTGTACAAATGACGGGTGTCTTCAATCCGCACCAACAATGTGAAAAGCCAAGAGTGGTATTGATCGAGGCACCACCAGGAATGGGAAAAACCACTTACTGCCAGAAGCTTGCTTATGATTGGTCAGTAATGGACATTTCACTTGAAGCTTCTTTTCCTAAAGTGGACATGCTTCTTCGACTGAATTGTCGTGATATGAAAACTAATAACATCGAGGATGCCATTGATGATCAGTTACTACCACTTGATGCAGATGAGCAGGAGAAAAAGAACTTCTTTCATTTCATGTGCCGCAATCAATCCAGAATTTTACTAGTTCTTGACGGACTGGACGAACTACCTCAAGATCTTTTTGAGGGATTGTTGCTTTTGATCAGAGGAAAAGTCTTTGCTAATATTTACCTTCTATTAACAGCCCGACACGAAGTAGGAATGAAAGTGCGGAAGTACTGTGACACAGTCCTTGAGATTGTTGGTTTCACCAGCGAAGATGCCGAGAGTTTCATCAAGAAGTACTTTAGCAATCACGACGATCCAAGCCTTGCTGAGAAATTGATTAGCAGTCTAGATACATATCCAAAGCTGCGTGAATTATCTGCAAATCCTCTTAATACAGCGCTGTTGTGTCTTGTTTATGAAGATTTGCACGGAAAACTTCCCCATAACAGAACCGTGCTGTATCGTGAACTTGTCTCTTGTGTTCTAAGGAGGTATTTTTCAAGTATGCAAATCTTTTTGGACGACAAAAGTCTAAACGAAGAATGTTCAGATGACCTGAATCAGTTGGGCAAGTTCGCTCTTGATGCTCTGCTAATGGATCAATTAACCTTCACTCCAGGGGAGTTGAAAAGTCAGTCAGCTGAATTCTTCGGATTCGGTTTTCTTTCTCGTGTAGCTAGTGCAATTAAAATGAAACCCAAGGCAACCTATGCGTTTACCCACAAGACCTGTCAGGAGTATTTTGCTGCATTGCACCTGGCCCAGGAATTGGCGACTGGTGAAAATGACAAGGTCGCGCTGCTTGCTCAGCTTAGTCCTGTTGGTAAGTACTGGCAGGTGTGGGAGTTCGTCATAACAATTGCTGCAACCAAAAGTGATGATCTTGGTGCTTTGGTGGTGTCGAGACTCTGTGCTTGCTATCAGCAGGAAAAACCCGAAAGATTCTTGCTCGATTTTTCAAAGGAGCTGGATTGTAATTTTAGCCATGACGATTCCTGGGACAACAATGAAGAGGACATTGTTGGCATGGGAAGCCATAACTATGAAGAGGACTGCAGCTCTGAAAGTCATCAAGATGATGACAATGTTGATAGCCACAATACTGATAGCGACGATGGAAGCGATCACCGTTTTGACGGTGTAATTGCTAACCGCGTTTGTGAAGATACTCCACATGATTGGGTTGAATGTTCGCAAGCAAGATGGCTATTTCAATATAAATCTGGGGTACCTTTATTTGAACTTATAATTCATACCATTGCTCAGTGTGAAACTTCTGAAAGTGAACTCAGTCGTAGGCAGATTAAAATGGCAGCTACTCTAGCGCGCTGTCTTCCTTTGGAGAAAATGGCAGTTGGCACAATAGGTTGGATCACGCTCACCCCACAATGTATCCCAGTGTTGTTGGAATATCTGAAAGGCAATAGCCAACTGAAAGAATTCGGTTGCTACGAGAGTTGTTGCTACGAGTTAAGTTCCGATGCAATTGAATATGTGCTCCAATCATGTAATGAGCTCAAGCGCTTGTATTTGTTCAACGATTTAAGTAACTCTGAACTTACATCGGCCCTTCAGAGAAATCGTACGGTAACTCATCTAAAGCTGACCAGTATTGGAACCTGCCTAAATGGAGCTGAAGCACTTGGCGGAATTCTACAATCAAATCACACTTTGACCCATTTGTGTTTGGCTGACAATTATCTAACTCATGTTGAAGTGGAAGCGTTAGCACAAGGTCTCCTGTCCAACACTGTGCTAGTGTATTTAGACTTAAGCGGAAACGCTATTGGTGATCAAGGAGCGGTTGCACTTTTCGCAGCATTGGAGTCGAATCGAATGCTAGAATACCTTGACGTAAGTTTTCAAAATCAAAGTTTATCGAGGCCTGATCACATGGAATCTGAGTTTCTAGGTGATGCAGGTACTAAGGCTTTGGCGCGTGCTCTCCGATTCAACAAGTCGTTGACGTACTTAGATCTTCAAGCTAATATATTTAGTGACTCAGCTCCGGAAGAACTGGGAGAAGCTCTTCAATTGAACTCCTCTCTGACACATTTGTAATTGAGGAATTGTAGGAGCTCGGGCGCATTTCGAATCGGTGATACAGCTACAACAGCTTTTTCAAAGGTTCTGCAGTCACATCTCACCCATTTGACTCGTTTAGATCTACACGGTACCTCTATGAGTTCATTGTGTGCAGTAACCCTGGCAGAGGCTCTCCAAACTAATCGCACTCTTGAGCGTTTGGATTTGAGTGACAACGAGATTGAATGTTTAGGCGCCAGAGCCCTAGCACAAGCATTGAAATCGAATCAAGGTTTGCAATTTCTACAGCTGAGAAAAAACAAAATTGGTGATACAGGGGCAAAAGAGTTTGTGGACGCCCTACAGTGCAACGAGACTTTGATCCAGTTAGACTTGATAGGAAATCCGATAACTACGTCAGGAGTTGAAAGGCTTGAAGCAGAGTTTAAAGTTCATCAGGGGGAGAATGGCTTTTGTTTGGTGAGAAGGACAAAACCTGATTGAGGCGTTCCCATAGATTGATAAACAAAACACTCCAGAGAAAGTATTCAATTAATCATCGTAAGCATTGCTTCCAGGAAAGCTACGATTTTTACACTTTCATCGCACAAATGTATATAGTACTGATATCACGCACGATCAGACAGGTCAATACAGTTTTTAAGCCTCACACTCCTGCACGGGTGATGGGGAACCTGACCACTGTTCGAGGAAGTAGCATTTTCAGATTTCGGTTCTGCTTTTTTGTAATTGAAATTAAAGACACGCAGTTTAACTGCATGGTCGGGCCGTGCGTTTTGCGTTTGATTTGAACTTGATTAGTGAAATAGAAAATTAAACGTTCTTCGTGAACTAACTCGTTGTGCTTGAATTGATTTATTATGGCCACAGCCCCCTGTCCCAATGTTTCCTGGTGCTACTTATTATTTGTTTTGGAGGGTCTTAGTACTTCGACATTTGCACTCGATCAGCAGTTAAGTTCTCTCCTGTGATCTCTGGTTCGTAGCCACTAGCACATTACGTTTTCAGCTCTTACCGTGACAACACGAAAGACAGCATAGGGCGATAAATATCTGGATGGCGCGCTATTCAAAAAAAAAAACAATTCCTTGCGAAAATATCTTAATAGGAGTGACGCATTATGAAATTTATTTCATTTCTTTTTGTTTGAAGAGACGTATTTTTCCGTTAAGTCAGCGAATTATCCGAAAGCCTAATCTTTTCAGTACGTTTTAACTAAATTCCCTGCAGCCGGACATGGTCTCAAAACGACTAAATGCCCAGCAGTCAGAAGTTTTCAAAGAATTTCCACAGAAAGGTTCCGCCAAACTTCTGAAGTGCCGGGATCACATTTTTGTTTTAAAAAAGTCAAAAGATTACAGCTAACTTGTTTTTTTTTTTTAATGGACATATTCTCTTAGCCTGTCCGTCCAAAAATATCGCTCGATTGTCTACATAAAAATATTTCGACTGCTAGGTACGGTCTCGAAAAGACTAAATACCCGGCAGTTATGAAAGTTTCACCAAAATGTAAATGAAAGGTTCCTTTAAACTTCTAAAGAGAATCAAATGATAGTTTAGAAACGTCAAGGGATTCGAAATAAATTTGTTTCTTCAGTGGACAA